GAATGTTTAAGGTTTTAAATCTAATGGCACTTGTTCAAGGGAGTTGTTCTGGAACGAACTCTAAATGCACTGGGTTGTGAATAATGCTATTAAATAAGCAGATGTGAATGGTTATTTTATTGCTCTTTCCAGTAGCTGTTCCTGGAGCTGGGTGGGAAATGGTACAGTGGAAGCTTGCATTTGAGAGGTGTCTGTTATCTTGACCTCCCTCATCCCAAAGGACTTGTGGAATGAATGGAAAATGAGAGATGCAATGAGTGGAGATTTGGGATTCGTTTTAAGCTCTCCAAACCCCGTGCCTGCCCTATAGGTGCTGGTGTGCTGCTGGATGTGGAGGCTGCTGCTGCGAAGGGACAAAGTGAACTTGCCTGCCTGGGAGCCATTGGGTGCAGTCCCAAAGTGGTGCCAGAATAAGGCTCATAGTGATGGTTGGAGCCTTCTTGGAAGCTATGGGAGATGTTTGTGTCCCCTTGTGAGGGTCGCAGGGTTGGTGGTGGTAAGGAACACAGCAGATTCTCCTTCCTGCCCTAATGGGCTGGAGCTTGTGGTGGGGTTCTTGGCATTACCTGTTCAGATGGATCCTCCTGGTAGGAGTTGTAGGTACGAGAGCTGCAAGCACACTACTGCATGGAGTATCTGGAACTTCAGCCTCTCACAGGCCACTTACCAAAGCGAATGGCAGCTGGAGTGAATGTGTGCAGAGCAAAGTTCTTTTTAGAGGGGGCTTCTTGTGAATGATGGCATATGAATGAGGATGGCATCCTTCAGCCTGAAAGCTTGCAGGATGTTGCCTCCAGAGACTTTCCAAACCTCCTGCCTTCAAAATGGCTTGGAAAAGAAAGAAACACTTACTACAGTAGAGGTTTAGATGCGATTCAGGCCAGAGTTCAGCAGGTTTTGGGTGTCCAAGCAAACACCAATGTGGAGCATGCGGGCCTCTGACTGCAGAAGGTCATCATGCACGTGGTGTGCTGCAGTGTATGTGTGTGTCTGCATGGAGCACGGCATTCCCCTTTTTAGCCATTACGTTTCCTAGGTCAGGAGCTCGCAGGGAGCAGCGTTGGGAATGGTCGGTGTGAATGTACTGGGATGGAGTGCTCAGATGAAGGAGTGAGACCAGTTCCTGTGACTTCTCCTTGCTGAGGTGATGGGCACTGCCCATCAGAACTGCAGCACCCAGCAGGAACCAGGGGATGGGGTGGGAAGGGGTTTTCTTTGTGTTCATTTCTCACCCTGGCAGGAGCTGTGCTCTGGGACAGCCATGCCAATGCACCGAAGCACGGGCTCTCTGCACAGCATGGGATCTCCTTGTGCCTCGGGTGGTTGGAAGGATGGTACCAACGTGAGACTCGTGCTCCTGCCCTTTCTCGAGGCTTAACCCCTAGAAACTCACCTTGTGTTCTTGTGGATGGAACACGGGGCTTGTGCACAGTACCAACGGGGGGTACTAACGCTTCATTCTGCTCCCTGGATGACGCAGTCATGGTGATGCTGAGCTTTGGTGTTCTCAGGGCGTTGTACGGGGCCGCTTTGTCTTGAGGTTTGTTGCTTCCAGGAATGGGAATGCAAGGAGGAACTCCAGCGTTTCAGGAGCAAAGGCATGAGGAGTCCTTTGACCCTTTTCAAATGCCAAAGCAGTGATCCTGCGTGCTGGTGGTGGTGCTGAGTTTTAGATCCCTGTTCCTGCCTGTTGAGACCTCCCTGACTTTGGCTGGCTGAAATCAGGTGGAAGAGCAGCTTTAGGCTCTAAGAATGTCTCCATCTCCCCTTTCTTGTTCTGGGCTCAGCTCCAGCAATGAGCTCATCGTCCCAGTGGCTGCTCTGCCTCCTGCAGCCCCATCATGGGAAGAGTAATCGTTTTACAGCATTCCTGTCAGTTATTCCAGTACTTGGCCTCTTCAGGGCATGGTTTTCCTTAGAAGATGGGGGAACTCCATGTGTTAGTGCTGTAACTCAGGGGTAAATGGTCTTGTAAATGCTATCTGATGGGGCATTACCAGGTGATAAGTGGTTTTAATGCTCAGGTTCTCCCTGCCTGGAGGGGGGTTTCTTTAGTACTTATCTCTGAACCTGGAATCGGGACTGATGGGCACAGGGGTAGGGCAGGACCAGAGCTGTAAGCTGAAGCTCGATGAAGACTTGATGCTGTAAAGGAGTGTGTGTGTGTGTGTGTGTGTGTGTGTGTGTGTGTGTGTGTGTTAAAACCTGGTTTCATTCAGAACCTAAGGGATGCTTCTCCATGAAGTCACGCACAGATCCTGAAGCCCAGAGGAGGAGGAGTGTGGGTGGGACGGACACGAAAGAGGCAGCTGCCTGTTGCCTGTGTCCATCTTGGCCTAGGCAGGTGTTAGGAAGCGCTGCCTCTGCAGAAGAGGCATCTCTTTGTGTGTCCGTTCAGGCAAACCATCTGCCTGGCTCTCCTCAGGCCTCTTGCATGGTGTCAGTGGGAGTGCAGGCAGGCAGAGGAGGGGCAGGGCTGCACACAGACAGGCGCTGTCTCACAGGGCTTGTCCTTTAGCAGCCCCTGGAGTGAGCCTTTCTGTGCTGTGCAGAACAAACGTACCCTTCTTGTGTGGAACCATCCCAGGTTCTCTGAGCTCAGACCTCGGCAGCATCCCTCAGCGCTGGCTGATTCCACTTCCCTGTCCTCTGAAGCCTCCTCTGCAAAGCCTGTAGCTGTGGCTGCTTGTGGGAGTGCACTGATTGTGTCTCATTAGCTCTAACCTGACCTTTACGCAAAGGGATCTGGGGGATTGCATAGTTTGGTGTCTTAAGCGTAGCTCAGACCTTTAACATGTAAGAGGAGGTGTCTAAGGCACTGCCCAGGCATGCTCCCAGATGTTAGCCAAAGGAAAATGCTGGCATGGGGATGTCTTCTTGTAGCGAGGCTGCTGCAGCTCCTTCTGGGCCTGTCCCTTTGCTTTCTGCCAAAGGAAGCAGATGGGACCCCAAGAACGTGGGAAGGAAAAAGTGCCTGAGGTCAGATGCTGTGGGATGGTGTCTGGAAGCCGGGTCTTCCTCCTTCAGCATCAGGAAAATAGAGCGTGGATTATAGCTGGTCCTCCTCTCTTGTCAGTAGATCCCCATGCTTCCCAGTGCGTGTTGCTGTTCCTGTGGCCATTTCTCTTCCTGCTGTGTTGCCTGGCAGCTCTGAAACCAGCTCAGCCCTGGAGGCCAGAAGGAGCTCCCACTGAAGCATCACTTCATTTTCTCCTCCCAGCCACCAGTTCTGGGCTCAGTGAGGAGGAAAACCGCTTCCCTCCTCACTCGGATGGGCAAAGAAAGCATCGGGAAAAGTCACTTTTCCAAAGGCAGTGTTCTGCCTGTTACACAAGGTCAGACGCGTGCTGCTCTGCCCTACACAAACAGGCTCATACCGTGTCAACCCTCCTCTTGCCCTAAGTGTCGTCGCTTACACAAACGTAGGCAACTACTAACGCAAGGAGCTCTTTAAACAGAAGAATTCAGCTCAACTGACTGGTTTGTACTGGTTTTGTGCACCGAGGGGCACTGGTCTGCGTCCAGGTTCCCCATGATGAATGCCTTGTTCCTTCCCTTGTGTTCCTGCACGCGGTGTTTCCGTGAGAACCGGGGCATTCCGAGGCGGTTGCTTGATGCGGCCACTGGTTTTGCTCTGCTTCAACCTGTGCGCTCCAACCCTCCTGATAACACCTGGTAAATGCATAACCAGCCTCCTGGAAGGAAACCCCGCCACACACGTACTGCTCCTGTGGGCTGAGGTTAGCATCTGGGCTTTAAAGTGCTGCTCGCACCGTTCGCTTCAGGAAAGAGCGATAGTATTTTTGTAGGGTCGCTTCTGGAATGTTCCTGTCTCTACACTGTCTTTCTGTAGCAGTGCAATGTATCCCAGTGAAGAGTTTCCCAATAAATACTGGTTTTGATGCCTAATGACTGACTGCTGTGTCTTTACTTGTGAGAAGGGGTTGACTTGCTGTGGAGGTGATGGAGAAGCTGTAAATGGGAATGATTCACCGGGTGATGCTCTCTTGTCGTAGCAGGGTGTATTGGTTAGTACCTCACTCATCCATTAGATACCATCATTACCCTCCTCATTCTTCCTGCGAGTCACACTGCTGCTTTATCACATGCCTCTTTCCTATCCCCTTGCTAACAAGAGCCCAATGACACACTCCTAACCTGCCAGTAGTTCTCTGAAGGTAAGATATCTTGTGTTCTGTCTGTGCGAGTCGTAAGGCAAAGCCAACCCCATCTTGGGCTCTTCTACCTGGAGGAGCCCAGAACAGGAAGCCTCTCCCCACCCTGTCTTGTTACACTGACACAGAAGCCAGCCAGGTTGTTAGGGTTATGTTAGATGCTCGATTCGAAGCCGTGGTATGGAGTGTTGAAGATCATATGCCTTGCAGTGATTTAAAGAATGCTGCTGTAGTTAGCAGGGTTTATTAAAAGCTACAGGCTGACCTTCATCCTTTGAACTGTGTATGTTACTTTAGCAGGTTGCAGGGATCCATCCCTGTGTGTTTTACCTACCTGAGTGTAATTCCATGTACCCGTGGGATGGCTCACAGCAACAGAGGCTATGCCAAGCAGTACGTCTGCTTGTAGGGCAGTCAGTAAGCACCAGTACAGAATGAGGTGGCAGAACTTGGCTGCTTGCTGCAGCCCCGCTCCAGCAGCACATTATAAAGTGAAAACCTCTCCTGTGGTGGTCGCTGTCGTGGGTGGCAGAGAAAAAAACCTTGTGGAATGGTGCTGAGGGGGTGCTGGGGTTGTCCATCTGTGTGTCAGACATTTTCCATCTCTTTCCGGGTTGTGAGCGGTGCTGAGCTGTGTCACTTCATGTGTCTTCAGTCCCTTCCCTTGTATGTTCTTTCATTTACCCTCCTTCTCCTTCCCATTTTCCATGCATGATGGTGGTTTAACTCTGAACAGCATGGTGTTTCTTGTGTAACAAGTACCCTTCTTATGTACGACTGAGGAGATGGAGCTTGTTGAGTAACACTCTTCTCTTGCGTTTTTAGGTCTGCAGAGGGATCCAGCCCTATTCCCAGTGGTAGCTCTTGAGCCCTGTAAAGGACCTTCTGGCAGTGATGGACTTGCTCCGTACAAGGGTCGGTGTGAGATGCGGGAGGTGAAAACGCAGCACAACTCGGAGTCAGACTACTTGGCAAGAGATGGTCCTTCAAGCAACAGCTCCTTCTACAGCAGTGAAGGAGAGGGGACAGACCATGAAGGGGACATTCTGGATTGCAGCGGGTCCAGGCCGTTGCTGATGGATTCGGAAGAGGAGGAGGAAACCTGCAAGTTGTGCCCAGGGTTCCTGCAGTCTGTGCCCAGGGAAAGGCATGAGGCCTCCAAAGAAGATCCCCACTCCCAGCCTAGAGCAGGGGAGTCGCTGTTCCCTGCCTTCCAGTCACACACCGGGGAGGTTTTTAATGAGCCGGATGTCTTTGCCACGGCTCCTTTCCGAAGCATGAGGAAAGTGCCTGATGAGGTGGATGTCTTTACCAAAGCTCCTTTTATCTCCAAGGGGAACATGGCTCTGAGGCATCCCGAAGAAGCAGACGTGTTTCTGAGAGCCCCTTTCACTAAAAAGAAAAGCGTGGAAGAGCTGACTTCCCATAGTACATCTAAAGAGTCATTCACACCTCCCATCCTCCTGGGTCAGGGAGGCGATGGCCAGCACCGAGCTAACCCCGGGATCCCAAGCCTGGACTCCGCAATGTGTGGGTCCACAGCCACGGCGAGAGCTCAGTATGCCTCTGCTGGCTTTCATCAGCCAGGAAGCCTTCATCCCTCTTCCATCAGAGCCGCAGAGCCCCAGGAGCACATCCCTGCTAAAGGCTCTGTGCCGCCGGAGCAGGGTGGCACTGCGGGCGAGAGGAGCCCGGGAGGAGCCGCGCTGCCGCAGGAGGCCGTGCTGGGCTCCGTGGCTACCAAGCCTTTCCGTCCACAAGCCCTGTCCAAATACTCCCGTCACTACAGCCCGGAAGATGGGCCGGGGCTTGACGTGAAGCCCATCGCTGCTTACAAAGTGGTTTCCCAGGCCAACAGACAGGCGATAGCAGGATCTGTCTCTGTTGTCCCTCTGTCTTCCAGGACTACGGAGCTGCCCGGCGGGGATCCCTTTGCTGCAGCACCCTTTCCTTCCAAAGCAGGAAAGCAAAAGCCTTAATCTGCTGTGAGCTGGGAGGTGTGCTTCCCTAGGGCCACCTCCCACAGGACCTTGAACCTCTTAGTTGAAATGAATGATATAGCAATATATATATAAAAATAATTATTATTTTTGGGTCAGAACTCTATTTGCAGTGCTATATAGCTGAACCATTTTAAGTTATGTTAGCCTCAAACCTGGCTCTCAGGATCTTCATATCCTTTTCAATTGCTTCTTACCTTCCTCCTCTCATTGTCGTCCTCTCCGTTTATTGTTTAGATGCTTTCCCAAACCAGTAATATTCCATATGTTCTGGTCCTGGCTGGGAAAATGCATTACAAGATGAATGAAAAAGTTTATGGATTACAGAGCAAGTCAAGCGGGACTTGCTAGTGCTCTGGAAAGGAAGTGATTTCACAGGTTAAAGGGTTTTTGTGACTTCGTCCCTCTTTCCTATCAGTGCAAGACAGCAATGTTGTATATTCCTGCTGCTTGGCCGCGATGGCAAACCTGGCAGCCAAGCTCCAGAGTCTGTCGTGTGCATCCATAGGTGATGCCATGCAGGAGGCGGTGGCACCAGGGCTGTGTTAGAGCCATTTCTTTCAGTTCATGTGCGTACTCCCTGCCTGGTTTACGCCAGCACAGGGATCTGCTGATGGTGGTGTTGCAGGAGGGAGCTGGGCAGCAGTTTTACAGTATTAAACAGAAGCCTTACTGGAAAGCTGAGTGTGCAAACACCTCCCTGGCTGTCCTGAGCTCCATACCTCATGTGGTCACTTCAGTGCTGGCTGCAATCCGGTTAGACTGAGCTATAGAGAACCTCCCCTCTGTGTGTGAACTCTGCCTTCTGTTTTCCTGGTGATAAAGGATGAACCTAAGCAAAATCCATCCACGCTCCATTGGGAATGTTTGCTCTGCTTCCGAAATACTGTGTGTTCTACCCTGTTCCCAAGGAGAAAGGTAACTTCTTATTGGTTGTTCAGTCATTGAGGTAGGGAATCCCAGTACAGTGTTTGGAGGAAAAGCAGCCCTGATGGGCAGAAAGCAAGCAGACTGTGCTCCCCTCTCCTTCCACTGATGTAGGACAGGGATAAGAGTGAAACCTCCCAGCCTGATTCTGCAAAATGCCTGGTTGCAGTTGTCTCAGATCTGCAACCTCTGGCCCTCAGAGGCTATTTAAGTGTGGAGTGGCTCCCAAAGATCCAGGTGTAGGGACTCTTTGGGCTCCCAGTCGTGGATGGATCTTTGCAGTGCAATCATCCTTCCCCTGAGAGGTGTTGGTGCTGCAGAATGTCTCCCAAGGGAAGATTTTGGTGGGTTTAATCTGAAGGACTTGTCTTCTATGGAAAACATCCCCTTTGGCTTCTGTGGTATCTGGCCAAGCCTCTTAAAAGCCTCGTGGTGGCCATTTTCCAAGGGAGTTTGTTCATTACGGTGTGAGCTGAGCCCTGCACTGAGGGTAAGGACATATCTCGCCTTTGGGGGTCTCCCACGAGCAATGGGTGGCTTGGTGAGATCAGGATGGAGAGCAGGTCCCTGCCCTGCCCTGCCTGCTCTCTGATGGGATTGTACTGAGTACTGTCCCTGGAAGAGATGGGAGGATCAGGTACAGCTGCTCCTAACTCACTGGAGGCCCACTGGGGAGAGCTTCTGCAGCTCAAAATAGACTTCAGTCTAGTTTGGCAGGGAAGAGACCCCCCTGATACCACCTCTAGTACAGAGCTTTGTTCAAATAATAAGCCCTAGAGGAATGCAACAGGCATATTGAAGCTAGAAGTGAAGGCTGCTGGAACAAAGCAGAGCACTGCGCAGTGCAGGGTTGACTCCTAACCCAGCAGTGTAAGGGGAGGAGGGATGGAAAAACCCTGCATGCCAGGAGCTGACTAGCAAAGCATGTGCAAAGAGGAGTTACCAACTGCTCCAGGTTTCCGTTCCCCTCCCCAAACTCCGTCCCCTCCAAACCGTCTCCAATTGCAAGAGATGAGCCAGATGTTCTGCTGGACGTGCCTGGCGCGGGGATCGCCTGGAAGGGAGAGGAAGAAGTTTGGGCTGAGCCCTTGCAGCCCTGGGATGGGGAGGGAGAACACTTGGAAGCAGGGGGGCTTGCTCAGCGACTTGCTGAGCCCAGGTCAGGTCCAATTCTGCTCTGCTACACTGGGAGTGAAGTAATATTGATGCACACTGGTGGGTTTTGTGTCCTCTGTCACCACGCCTTGAGAAGTACTGTAAAGAATTCCCTGGATTTCCCCGGAGATGTTCCTTCAGCAATGCTGAGGCTGTTGTTGCTTGTGTTCTGTTGTTGCTTTCTGTTTCAATCTATGCCCGGCAGGCGGTTGTTTCTGTTCTAAATACACGCACGATGCACACCCCAAGTCGCTTGTTGCTGGATTGGATCCGCGCGAGATGCAGACTGTGAATTCAAGGGGTACTAAGGACAGTGAGTGTGAGGACACAACTTGTGTCATGGGGCTGAACTTGGCCTCGAGCTGTTGAATGGGCTTGGGAAGCTGCTGGAAGGGAGGTCAGGCCCACGTGTAAAGAAGAGGTGGGTTCAAGGCATTACCTCTGCAAACTGGATCCAGGTTCTCCTTCCTGCTTTTTGACTTGAAAACCTGCGTTTGGGTAATTCTGTGAAACGTCCTTCGATTCCACGTCCAGGCCTCCCTTAGCTGATGCTGGAGGAGCAGCATCCTGCTCCCCTTCATACTCGGATCCCTTGCCCCTTGGTGGCAAGGTGGAGATGAGCTGTGGGTTCTTCAGCCCTCCCTTCTCCTGCCCTGCCAGCCAAGGGTGGAAGGGAGAACCCAGCAAGGCCCAGCGGGGTGTGCGGGCTTGCTGCAGCCCTGCTTCACCTCGGGGCAGGCTGAATCTCCAGGTTTGGCAGCTTTTATGTTCTTCAAGCACTTTACACAAAGAGCAAGCAAACCCTGCCCCAAAAGCCAGCATATATCCGGTGCTTAAGTGGTCTGAAAGCTCTTCTGGGGGGTGGAGGCAGCTGGTTTGTGTCTCTGCGTGTGACCTGTAAAGTGATGGGACTTTTGGTTCTGGGCAGAAAACTGAATTTCAGTGCCTGTTGATCTCAATCTCATTTCCAACCTGGTTTCCTCCTCATCTCGTACTACCAGTGCTGCAGCTTCAGCGTGATGCGTTGTAAATGGAAATGTGATTTCCATGCTCTCTGGAGCTTACTGGTTTTAATGAATGTGGAAGAATAATGGGAGTTGCTTCCTTTGCCACACAATCTTAATCAGATTGGTAACTCAGAACCACGCAGCCACTCGCTTACTCCCATGCCTCTGCTCCTGGAGGGATGGGGAGGAGAATGGAAAGAATGTAAATCCCATGAGTTGAGATACGAACAGTCCAGTAACTAAGGTATAACACAATTCTGCCACCTATAATAATAATGATAAGGGAACAACAAGGGAAGAGAATACAACCGCTCACCACCCACTGACTGATACCCAGCCTGACCGAGCAGTGATCTAGTCCTTCCGGGTAACTGCCCCCGGTTTATATACTGGGCATGATATGCTGTGGTATGGAATACCTCTTTGGGTAGTTTGGGTCAGGGCTCCTGTCTCTGCTTCCTCCCAATTTCCCCTCCTCCCTGGCAGAGCATGGGACTAAAAGTCCTTGATCAGAGTAAACGTTACTGAGCAGCGCATCAAAGCATCAGTGTTATCAGTGTTGCTCTCAGGCTGCACCAGCTACTGAGAAGGAGCAAAATGACTGCTACTGCTGAGCCCAGATTAGTCCAGCCTCCCTGCAGCGCTTTGAGGCCATCTTGCTGAACAAACCATTGGTGTCATGTCTTGATTTTAAAGCTCTAGTACGTTGTTAACTGCCCTGGTCTTCAGGCGTGGTCAGAGGGCCCCAGCCCTGGGACAATCTTACACTCATGCTGGCAAAGGGACTGGTCCTTACGCATCTGGAGCCTCTCTTTGAAGTGCTTCATCAGTTTCTGCCTGTGAAAAGTGAACTATGATTCTATGCTTCTGAACCTCTGGTTGGCTTGGCTCTGTGTGCCTCACTGCCATGGGGGTCAGACAGCTCATAAGGGGACCAGCCACCCTGCTGTTAACCTGCTGCAGTATTGGTGGGGCTTGCCCCACGCCTCTCCCTCCCGTTCAGCTCCGCTCGGGTCACACACAGTGTGAAGTTTACAACCTGAAGTCCTTTTGGAGCCAGGACCCGCTCCGTCTGTGATGCACGCTCTGCATGGAGCACGCGGTGATGGGGAGCTTGGAACAGCAAACCAGTGTCAGCCCTCTCTTCAGTGGCGCTTAAAGCAAGGCTGAGCGAGATGTGGTTAATGGCTGAACCCTCCATCACTCCAAAGCGGTAACCGGTTACCTTTAACTCAGCTTCCACCAAAGACTTGCGTTGGGGAATTGAATCCTTGTGGGGTTTTTGCTGGGTTCTTTTATTCCCATGGTGTTGAATCAAGGCCTTTCAATGCACCCGGAGACTCCAAAGCGTTTTTACAGCAATTACATCTTGGCAATGAAATCTTGTTCCAGCTCTGACACACATTCCTGAAACCTGGCCAGCTGTGTTTCTAAGATAAGCCACAGCCTATAGCTTCCATTGTAGGTAGGGTAAATACCCTCAACCACCCCTATAAATACTCCCCTATCAGAGGGGTGTTGATGCTCCACCATTCCCAGTCCCTCCTCTAGCAGTGGGGAGGCGGGCAGGGGCTTGCTCTGATGTAGGAGGCAGCTACTCCACGCTACAGTGCAAGCATCTCCCTTGCTTCCTCCTGGAGCTGGAAGCATCCATGGTCCCCGCTGTGACAAAGGCATCGTGTCCCGTTCGCTGTTATCAAGGTTAGTCCTTGGAAGTACCCGGATCTGGCTCGCAGATTCCATGGAGTCACGTTCACATTCCGGGGGTGATCGTCCGCGTTCCTGATCATCCTTATGGAGAGCTGTTGGAGTTGTAAACCTATGTGCGTTCTATTAAAGCTGTATCTGGTTGCAATGCGTCTCCGCTGTGCATTCCTTCTCCCCTCCCCATGCACAACAGTTAATCCTGGATACAAGGAATTCTTCCCAACGAGGTATTGAACCTAATGTGTTTTATCTGCCAGTTGGGAAGTCAAACTGATCCTAACGCCTTAAGATCTTTTAGGAGTGGATTTCCCCCTTTACCACTGGGAGAGACCTTCACATCCAGCTCAATGCCATGGAGCCGGATGGGGCTCAATCCAGAGCTATGGATTGAGCACACCCAGAGGAGGGGCAGCCGGAGCTCATTCCAAAGGGGATCCGTGCCGAGCTGTGGGGGAACACAGGGGGGGATCCAAGAACAGGCTTTGGCAAAGGCAAGGGGAAACGTGTTGGACGTGAGCGGAGCAGCGGATCCAGCAAGGAACGGCTGGAACTTGGCTGCGTTTTTGGATGACGGTAGTTAATTTTAGATGAAATTAGTTAATTTGAATCGAATAAGCTGTGACTGGCTTAATTTAAGGGACTTTTTGGTCGAAAATTGGCAAGATTAATCATATTAAGGGGGAGTTTCTTCATCTTGCTCAGTTCTTCATCCTCTTGTGCAACAGCCCTGAGCGCTGGCAGCTGCTGCACTGCAAAAGCAAGAGCTTCTATCTCCTAATCAAAGCAAACACACCTTTAGTTTTCCCAAAACAGCCGTGTCTGGGAGGTTTTTTGTTGGTTTGTGAGATTTGGGGAGAGGGAAAAAGCATCTTTTTGTGTGTTACCTGCGGTGAGCCCGGCTCCGCGCTGCGTGTGGTAACCCTGCTGCTTCCAGAGCGCGCCAAAGCGATGCCAGCGTTTGGGATGCGGTCAGTGGGGCTTCATCGCTCTGGAATGCGCCGCAGCGATAGGAAATATTAAAAAAGAAGGGGAAAAAGTGGTGGTTTGAGG